CACTCTTTTCTTCGATTCATAAATTTAAATTTGCTTGAAACATGTATCTGTTCCCCATTTTTTTATTGAAAAGAACGCCACTAGTTATTCCTGAATATTATTTTCTGTCTACTTGCAATGTACTGCGGTCAATACATTCATGCAAATGACGAACAGAAGTGGATTGGTTCGGAGTAATGAGATACTTTTCATAAAAATGACATTCTCGTACTATGAACATCAAAATTAGTTTTTTTGTAAAAAATATTTCCGTTCTCCATGTAGACCTTATAACAAAATTATCTTTATTTACCTGTGTACGTTATTTTATTTGGCGGCATTTTGTCCAAGGTTATGATTGTCTTTCTGATATTGTTTTACATCTAACCCTCTTTTTTATTAATTTTGTATTTACATTGTGTCATAGATCAACTTTATTCGTTCAGTGTATGTTCACTTGTTTTTGTTAATATTTCTCTTGATTGAGTTAAGCCATTTCAATTGATATTTTATAGTGTGTCTTTCTATGTTGTGATGTCACACTATTGTTTCAGGTTAGGGTGAAGGTTGGCGCCTATTAAAATGTTTAAACCAGCTGCATTTGTTTGCAGAAAGAATTGTCTCTGTTTTTATTTCTGAATTTTTATTGGAAACAATAAATGCAAGGTCAACGTGATGTTAAAGTTCAAACTACATCACGCACATGTAATTATGAAGTTTAAACGGATCAGAGCTTGTACTAGACAATTGACTATTTCAACTTTCGTTGACCAAGCACATACATAGCAAATACATGTTAAATAACTATAAACAAACAGTATTACAAAAACATATATATCCTGGCATATCAACTCTCGGATTCCCTCTATGTACAAAACATGTACATATTATACGATATATACAATAAAGTAATTATATACTATACAACAAAACATTTCAACAGCATTGTTTCTTCGGTTATCAATGATTTTGCCTATGGTTCAAATCTAACAGAAATGTACAATGGTATATAAATTGTATAGCTATTGCGTGTCTAGCTTTGCACTTTGAATAGCTTCTGGGATCGACACCAATCTTCATTAAATGTTTGTTTAATCATCTGTATACTCATATAAATCATTTCTTTTTACACAATATGACATTGTGAAATATTATCTCGATGTAGCAAAATGTGATTTCTACAGCTTGAATAATCTGCAAGATTATAAGAAATAGTTAAAAACATTACAGTGACAGACATATTCGAATAAATATTTTACAAAATGTTTACTTATTTGGGTAAAATTCCTTTACAATCTTCTATAATTTCTACATTTTTTATACCTTTTCTAAGTCTTTTTTCTAAGTCTTATTCATAAGCGAATATGAATTATCAGATGTTTGGGACAAAAATCAACGAAACAACATTCCAAAATAACTATTTACGAAAAAAAGAAATGTAGAGCTACCTTTTCTACATGATAGTAATAAAATTCTATAATGATTTTCGTTGCAATGGGTATGAAAAACACTTTCAAATTCATTTCTTTCTTCGTTACTTATATATATTGAAAATTAATTACAAAATGTATCACGTTGATACTGCGATACTTAATGTTTATTCTCACAAGAAACTTGTTCTTTTGGTGGATTTTTGTTTTTTGGTTTTTGTTAGAGCAAGTTTGTTTCCAACATAATTTTAATTTTTAAATATAAAGTACGTTTTTCTTATAACATATTTACCTTCTGTAATAATTCTATCTTGCTTGTTGTAAAACAGCTGTAAATAGAAAAATGAATCTTCATACAACAGTACAGTTTCTACATACTAAACAATCATTACTATCAAACATACTTATTGCAACATCTAAAATCATGTTTATTTAATTACCACACCAGTATTATACATTGTATTCTTGTATTGCATTATTTGTGTGACTGAATTATGATTGTACATTGTACCTTTGTCTTTCCCCCTGACCAAAACCTTAATTGTAATAAACACGTATTGTATTGTATTGTATTGTATTGTATTGTATGGTATTGTATTGTATTGTATTGTATTAATAATAATAAGAATCTCATTTCAGAAAAAAAATTGATGGGCCAATTTATGTTTTTTAAACCAACAGTTTACAGGTGGGTGTAGAATACTGCATTTAATTAACATACGGCTTCATTCTACTTAGTTTTGGACTTTTTTTTAAATTAAAAATTAACTCATGAAAATGATTGGGTTGGAATGTTTATCCACCTATGCATTCATTCAATGTCGTTCCATTAAAATGTTTGTAATTTGCTCCTATCGAACATTCAAGGTGGATAATAGCAATAGATCAGCTGTACTTTCCATAACATAATTTTTTTTTCTTATTGAATAGCATCAGTTTCATCATTTGCAGAACGCCTCACACATGTGCCATTACTAAATTTTCATGAAACAAAACTTTTGAGTAAAGAACATGTCTTGTTCAGTATGATTTTGTTTGGTCCTAGCATCAACATGTCTTGTTCAGTATGATTTTGTTTGGTCCTAGCATCAACATGTCTTGTTCAATATGATTTTGTTTGGTCGTAGCATCAACATGTCTTGTTCAGTGTGATTTTGTTTGGTCGTAGCATCAACATGTCTTGTTCAGTATGATTTTGTTTGGTTGTAGCATTAACATGTCTTGTTCAGTATGATTTTGTTTGGTCGTAGCATTAACATGTCTTGTTCAGTGTGATTTTGTTTGGTCGTAGCATCAACATGTCTTGATTTAATCATATGTATATTTGACAGCACAAATCTTTCTGTTGTGAAATCGTTTTTGGTCTGATTCAAAACAATAATGTGTGAATTATCATCGTATTGATTTAGCAATACAACTTACATCTTGGAATAGTTCTGGCAAAATTGACAAAATCTGCTGGCTCAGCATTGTTATTTATCGGGACTATTGCTAACACTGGTCTCCTGTTAGTTGAGGTCCTTCCGCCAGTTTGTTCAACATTCATAGGAACGATAGCAAAGTTTGAATTTGATCTACCATCAGCAACCGTTTGTCTTCGTTCTGGTAATGTTGCAGCTGTTTCGCCAATACCAAAGGATTGTGTTCTAATTGTTCTAGCACTCTCTGCTCTAGTATTCCTGATGGCATTATTTCTATTTCTTCCATTATCCTGTGTTCTAGATGTATCTACAGCTTGTATTTCAGTTTGTGTTCTACCCCCAACAGTCATTTCAGTGTCTCGTAACTCGCCTCTTGTTCTTCTAGCATTAGTTGTAATTGGTATTCCGGCTGTTCTGCTGATTTGTGATCTTGCTGGCTGTGCCCTAGTTCTTTGTATATCTGCCCTTGTTGGTATGCGTCCGATTTCACTCCTCACTGATAGTGGAAATTTTAAAACAATGAAAGTTGAAGTTTATTTTACTTCTGCAAGTTACAAGGTATTGTTTTTTTTTTTATTTATGTCTTTTTTTTCATCTAAATTTTGTTTTTGTTTGTTTGTCTGTTTGTTTTGTATATACTTTTGCAGTTTTCTTATTTAGTTACAACAAGAAGATAGACCTCTTTTGAAAAAATTATCATAACAATATCTAATTTCAAGAAGGATCCTACGTGATTAAGTATCTAAAATTCGAAATTCGAAATTTAGAACCCAAATTGCTTATCCCATCAATTTAGATGAGATGATATAAGAATGTAGACACACAATAATATACTGTCTACGTAATATCAGTGGTTGGCATGATTTTAAATCGTTATATAATTGATTTTATTTTTTTCTGTTAATTAATCCTTATATTTGATTAATTCTAACGAGAGAAGACATGGTTAAGAAGCTGTCAGCGAATCAGTACGGGAAGACAATAATTCAATAGCGGTACATTTTTGAAGATTTGGATAAAATAGGGGATTTTCTTTTAATATAAAGTCTATGTACACGTGTTTTGTAGTAAAACTACGCCATAGAATATATAAAACATATTCAACTTTTTTGCGAAAATTGAGGAATCATACGACAATTAAGAAAAATATAAGTCAACTGGAATTATATTTTTGTAAATAATATGAACATCGAATTTCGAACTTTACATATCAAATCTTGAGTAAAATCCGTTTGACATATCGAACAAAAATCAGGAGGGAAATCTTATATGCCAATTTCCGTCTTCCCCCCTTTTTTTGCAATACAGAATATCTATCTATAAAGCACTTTTTTCATATGTAAATTTATTTTTCGTTTACCATATATTGTGTTGGTCATTACGGGTGTATGGCGTAGAGATGGGGTACAATTGTTCGACTAAACCTGATAAAGATCTCAATAACCCTTTCCTTTTTCATATTTATTTTGCTGTGCAAGAATACTAGTAAGATCGCAGTATTGAAAAAAGCAAATTTCTTTTTATAAGCTTTACACAGATGGAAAAGCGAGATCCGTCGGGTACTCACTCCTCCAGTTGCGCAGCTAGAACTAATAAATCTTGATTTGCACATTTACAATTCAAAACATTTTTCGAAATCGTCACAAACTAAACTATGACGCAATTTGATAATTATCGTTCACCCATATTTTTAACAGAATACCAGTATACATGTACATGAATACCAACATTTCTTCGGTTAAATGGCTTGTTACGGGACACATATTCAACATAGTACCTTGTTGTAAGGATCTTCTATCTTGTTATATACAACTGATAAAAAAAATATAAACACATTGTGTATACATGCTTTTGTAATTATTTTTTTTTGGTAATCACTCGATGCAGCACCTTTGAGAACATGCAATGCCTTAGATAATTTTAACATATAGGTTCATCATTGTCATCTTTTTTGCACTTAAAGACAAAAATACACGAAAACAATATGGATGCTAATAGTAGTACAGTGATTTTTTTTTATATCTTTATATCAGAGATTTACAACGAACTACGGGGGCGTTTAACGACGCATCAGGGTCTCGCACGGTATATAAATGCAATATTTACATCTTTACAAAGATATATCATGGTCGATTGCATACTACTGACTCTTGAGACAAACAAAGTCAAATATCTATAAAATTTTATTACCCTTTCGTATACAATACACAACAACTAATATTAGTATATGCTAAATGTACAGTCTACTCTAAATTTTCTCAACGTTATTAATTGTTTCATTTCACATGAATAATATTTCCCAAAGCACCTGACAAATAAACAGTTATTGGTTTGACGGTAAGGTACTAGAAGTACCTCTTATAAGGTGTCATATATGTTATTTTTGCTCTAGATCATTTAATTGTTTTAATTTTACTTAAATAAGTAGATCTATTTATTTCAGTTTTCCATTTCAAAGCATACCAAGACAACTATTTTCGACTTTCAAGCATGACAAACAAGCATTCAATCTAACCTTTTGATTAAATGCAAGTTAACATGTATCGTATGGATTTAAAGCACATTAGTGTATATATATGAATATCATATCCCACATTGTATAATTGTCACTTATTGATTTTATTTTCTTATGAATAATAAGCATTAAGAAATGCAAGTTCATATTGTATATCAGATCAGTTATGATGTTAAGAGTTCGTCTCTTTTAATGTTCAAAGTTCCCACAACAACCAAATACGTCACTTCCATCTAACCTTGATTGGCGCCTCCTATAATTAAAAATGATCAAATATTAAAAAGTGAACTTCCCACTCAATCAGAACCACTACTTTTCATTATTAAACTTACAAAAAATGTATGTTATGACAATTTTAGTGATTAGATGTACGCGAGTAATATACTATAATAGTTATAACCCTTAGGTTACATGATAACATTACAGAAGGACAAATTTTTCACTTTTTATTTGTTCTATTGCAGTCTACAAATTAAAACAAATAAACCTTTGTAATACCAAAGTGCAATATCGCGTAAGTGTATTTAACAGATTGCTTTGACAAAGTAGTAAAATGCTATTACACAACGAGAACTTATCAATAGAATCCAAACAAGCAGTTAAACAAGTGACTGGGAAGGGGAAGAACTCTTACCGGATGTTCCAAGCTCAAACCCGTCTTATGGTATTGTGAACTGTGGATCTAGTCCTAGAAAATTTATCAGTTCATTTTCTAGACTAGGTGCACCTAGAAAGCAAGCCAAAGAAGATATTAAAAGCAACTAGAACTGGTTAAAAAAGCTCAGTGAATGGAAATCTTTTCGTGTTAACTCGTTTATAATAAATGATCAACTTAAGAAAAAGAAAACAAGTGATATGTAGTTAATTAAGAACATGAGTAGGAACTGTCTGATATGTCTGTGACAAAGATATTTCACACAAATACTGTTATACAAATTTCACTTTCTGTAATTTCATTTGTTGATTCAAATATATTTTTTTCTTTTCTTTTTTATATCCTACATTTGATTTTGTGTATCTGCGGCTATATAAGTCATTTTTATTCTGGCAATTCTTAAAAATTAACGTGATCAGTCAGTCCCGTTCAGCCGTGATCAGTCAGTCCCGTTCAGCCGTGATCAGTCAGTCTCGTTCAGCCGTGATCAGTCAGTCTCGTTCAGCCGTGATCAGTCAGTCTCGTTCAGCCGTGATCAGTCAGTCTCGTTCAGCCGTGATCAGTCAGTCCCGTTCAGTCGTGATCAGTCAGTCTCGTTCAGCCGTGATCAGTCAGTCCCGTTCAGCCTGTGTCTATTTCTGTTTACATTTTCTCACTGCATTTTCCTTATACGATATTGGAGGAATAATTGTCCCTGATAACGAAAAATGATGACTATCAATTTGTTTTTTTAAATTGTTACGTTTTTATTGTCCTTTTTAAATGAATATGCAAAAGAAAAATTAAAGGAGATCAGAATATTTTAGCAGTCACTTTTTGAATTTGCCGTCATCTGTGATTATAAGTGTATTGCATCATATCAATGCACACATGCCATGTGTCTCTGGAATAACCTACAGTCAGATACGCTCGAGATAAAAACTTTGAAAGTCAAATACATAAAACGTATGAGCATCAAAACAAACCTAAATAGCTCTCTTAAGTCACCTTTACTTGATGGAAGTGCAACGTTTGTTTTAGTACAATACTAAATTTACATAAAAAAATGTTATTCATGTCATGTCAATACCAAGAACATATTGTTCGGTACTCCCTGTCTTTTTATGTATCCAAATAATATGTAAAGCCTTCAGTTACAAACTGAATTAATTATTCCATGCTGATACTAAACCCCTAACGGGAAGGATTGTGCCTGATATTCATATGATGAAGACAATCATTCAATCAGTTTAATTGAAGTCTGGAGCTGGCATGTCAGTTAACTGCTAGTAGTCTGTTGTTATTTATGTATTATTGTCATTTTGTTTATTTTCTTTGGTTACATCTTCTGACATCAGACTCGGACTTCTCTTGAACTGAATTTTAATGTGCGTATTGTTATGCGTTTACTTTTCTACATTGGCTAGAGGTATAGGGGGAGGGTTGAGATCTCATAAACATGTTTAACCCCGCCGCATTTTTGCGCCTGTCCCAAGTCAGGAGCCTCTAGCCTTTGTCAGTCTTGTATTATTTTTAATTTTAGTTTCTTGTGTACAATTTGGAGTTAAGTATGGCGTTCATTATCACTGAACTAGTATATATATTTGTTAAGGGGCCAGCTGAAGGACGCCTCCGGGTGCGGGAATTTCTCGCTGCATTGAAGACCTGTTGGTGACCTTCTGCTGTTGTCTGTTCTATGGTCGGGTTGTTGTCTCTTTGACACATTCCCCATTTCCATTCTCAATTTTATGGTTTAAATTTCATACCATGATTGAATTCAATATTGTTAAGTAAATATTTGTTTATTTCACAATTTTTTTCTTCAAACGAATTAATGACGTTACGACCTAGAAATATGGAAAATATTTACAAACATTTAGCAATATAAGCGATTTGATTTAGTTTATGTGTCTTCGAACGAAAGTCATTTGAATTGCATCTAGTGTAACGTTGAATGTAATTATCACTTTAGAAAGATTCCATATATATATATATATGCATAACTTAAACTAGTGAAGATGACAAAAGATAGGAAATAAAACAATCTGCACGTGAATGTTATAGATTAAGACATGTTACATAGGTGATGGTAAAGATCACTGTCAAATGGACCGACAATCTACACGTGAATGTTAGAGTAAGACGTGTTACATGTACATGGGTGATGCTAGGAATAGTGTCAATATATGATATGTCACAGAAAGATTTTAAAGATCACTGGCCAAATGACCGCTTCGAACCCCAAAAAATAAATCATTTCCGAATACATATCTAATCGAATAAACAATATTTTCTGTCTATGGCCCAAAGGCACAACTTAAGTACTAGTATCCCTTTTACAGTTCGTAATTATACTTGTTCAAACCAAAAAAACACATGTCCCAGTTAAAAGAATAATTTTTAACTATGTTTTATTATAAATGGACTGTACAGTAACCCTCATATGATATTTAACATGTTTAACTACTATTTAGAACATATCCAGGCCACAATTAGCTTTCAGTCTCAATCATGAGTAAGATGCACAATGATTGCAAGTTACTCTAATCGTAAAACTGCCTTCTTCCAGGAAAAATACACAATATGTCATATGAAAAATACCTATCTAAAATATGGAAATAAACATATTGGTAAGATTTTGAAGGAGTATGTATGGCAGCTAGTTGGGAATATATTTAGGTACCAATATGAAAGCCTTTGATTTGGTTAGGCCGTACTATTCGTGACATAGATGGTCATGTGACTTTTCTAAAGCTGTACCATTCGTGACATAGATGGTATCGTGTGAATTTTTTTTAAAGCCGTACGATTCGTGACGGTGTCATGACAAACTGTTCATCTTTGTGTCGAGTTTCCCCGTCAGATTTAAAATTTTAAAAAAGGTGGTAAACTTAGAACATGTTACCAAAATTTGAGAGGCAAACATAACAGCACAACGATTCAGACTTAAAAAATCAACTAGTTAATACTGAAAATATTTAGACAATTTGTGGGTCATTACTCGCTTATCTGCAGTATATAGTGATATATCAATTTGTAGCCAATTAATATGTGAACAAAATCTTCAAGGCCACAGTATTAAACCAGCGGCTCTAAAGAGCCTGTGTCGTTCACTTTGGTGTATGTGCATATTCAAAAAGGACATTCTCCAACATTGTAGACGAGAATAGAATGATGACAAAAATCTCTGTTTCTATTTATCTATTATAATTTTTAAGATATAAGGCAAAAACGCAAAAAAAATGGTAAAAATCGTCATCAAAGGGCAATAACTCTAATAAGGAGTCGACTGACGATTCCGACCATGCAGATTTATTTGTAGAACTTATCTTGCTGATCATTTTTTTCAATTTAAAGTTTCTCTGTATCTATTATAGTTTTCAAGATAGAAGACAAACATTTAAAAAAATGGTAAAATCTGTCATTTAAGGGCAATAACTCCTATAAGTCGTCTGACGGTATTGGCGATAACGGACAATTTGTAGAGCTCAACATTATGAAAATTTCTGCTCCTATCAGATTTTCTCTATTCATAATGGTTTTCAAAATAATAGACAAAACTTGCATTTTACCCCTATGCTCTGTTTTTAGCCATGTCGGCCATCTTGGTTGGCGGACGGGGTCATCAGACACATATTGTAAACTAGAAACCCCAATAATGATTGTGGCCAAGTTTGCTTAAATTTGGCCCAGTAGTTTCAGGAGAAAATTTTTGTAAAAGTTAACGACGACGACGACGGACTCCAAGTGACGAGAAAAGCTCACTTGGCTCTTTGGGCCAGGCGAGTTAAAAATTCAAGCAAATAACACTTTTAATTTTTTAAATACACCACCGTATAATTATGTGCACCTCCCAAATTTTACTTTATACTGTATGCAAATACTATGCAGTCAACTATCATAACCTTACTGACAATGTTTACATTCTGATAGAAATTCAAACTCAGATGATAGAATAACAGATTTCAAACAAGACCCATTGTTGTTGTTTTAGACGGCATAGAAACTATTTACATTCATAAATTGATTCGTGTTTATTATGAGAATAAGCATATATTTGCTAAGAACTACGTCATTTGGACTTTGGTGGATAGTTTGTCTCATTAGCAATCATACCACATCTCCTTATTTTATAGAAGTATTATTTTTTGTAAATACGAAAAACATAACTAACTGACAGATCATAGATAATGGTAACTTTGATTGATCATTATCATATGATAACTAGTTAATATTTTTTCATGTCAGATTTAAGTATCCCTAAGATAAATTGCTTTATTTTGTTTACCACTCCCTTGATCTATTTAAGCTGATCCAATAAAACCGTTCATAACAAACATATAATATTTCATAAAATGGTGATTTTGACACGAGCTAAGCAAAGTAATACAAACAAAGAAGTGGAATTACTCTATATGAAATAAGACTCAGAATTATCGGTTAACACCTTCTCGTGAAAACTCGTCGAGTAATAGTTCTATATATTCAAAAAAGAAAACTCTTCGGGTTATAGCAAGATATAAAGTATTGTATAGTTATATAGAAACAAGTAGGCAAAATTGGACAATGTAGAAATAGGAAATACTAGACAATGGCGTCAAGGGCAGAAAGTAAATAAAAGACATTGCTTATCACAATGTTTTTGTGTTTCGATATATGAAGATACTATTATAGAAAGATAAGAAATACAGCACACAAACAAGTGACAATTATAGCCAATGGATGTTTAAGTTCAGAAAAGACAATACAACTGACGGATTTTAAAGTCAAGGACAAGAGGATGGTTGTACAACAAACAGATAACGGGTGTCAATGTTACAGAAATACAGAATAGCCAACGCTTTTGAACATGCATACCATCTTCATGATATGCATTAGTGAAAGAAAATTGTAACCCAGAACACTAACATTTCTAAACAGATGATATTTTTGGGTAAAATCAACTTAATTTGTAGTAAAGAACATACTAAAAACGCAATTTGCTGGTACAACGCTGAAATGCGATATCAGTACTATTCTAGCAATTTGGGAGCAAGAACGCACTTCGCATGAATGAAATAGCTTTCTACTAACTACTGCCTAATAATTTTCTAACACCAACAAAATTCTGGTATACCTTTCATATGTTCCTTAATATTAATAGTACTTTTACTTATGCCATATGATAATGGACTTTCGTTTTGAATTTTCCTTGGAGTTCGGTATTTTTGTTATTTTACTTTTTGTTATATATGGTATCCACGGAAATTTGTCTACATTCGAACCAGTTTACTTATATGTTTTTAAATCTCTCATTAAATCAAGAAATATTCCTTTCTAAAGGCAAAGACACCTTATTGATACTTGTAATTGTATCAAAGATAGATTGAAAACAACTTTAAAAACTGGTCAGAACATAGTTGGTGTTAGTATTATAATAAATTACCAAATGGAAACATATTAGCCATTCCCGCCCTACCACCAACATTAGACATCACCGGAACACTTCCGGTGTTTGAACCACTAGTAGCTGAAGGCTGGTTGCTTCTTGAAGCGCTAGAAAATTGATTAGGATTCATCGCTGCAAATGCGCTCGTACCCATACCGTTTCTTGCGGTCTGTCCTGTTGAAGCTAAGCTATTTGCTCCCATTGTAGAACCAGGTGTACCGAATTGCATTCCTGCAGCGCCAGCATTTGATCCCATTCCCTGCATCATTGAAGGAAACATTCCACCAAGACCCCCTAAATCAGGCATCATGCCTGCGGAACCAGTAGTACCTCCATTTGTTGTTCTTGATGAAGCTGAACTTGCTCCAGTCGTTCCTGATGACGAACCTGTTGTTGTAGCTCCATTTGCCTGTTGCCCCATACCTAAGCCATTCATTCCGGGTTGCATCCCACCAAATCCTCCAGGCATCATTCCACCCATTCCACCCATCCCACCCATACCTCCAGGCGGCATTCCACCCATTCCGCCCATCCCTCCCATACCTCCAGGCATCATGGGAGGTAAAAACATTCCATTCATTAGGTTGGCTCCTCCAAAACCATTTCCATTGGGTGCCATACCGGCCGCACCATTTTGTGCCGTTCCAGACAGAGCATTCATGCCTGAAGTCATTCCAGACTGGCCAGGCATACCTTGTGTCATTCCAGACGGCCAAGAGTTCATATCTGGCATTCCAGACCAAGCGTTCATACCTGTTGTCATATCAGGTAAAGCATTTGAACCCAGATTAGTTCCTTGTGCTGAAAATATGTTAATTTAACCTTGGTTAGTTTTCAAAATACCATTAATTCATGCAAAGATTTGAAAATAAACTTAGATATCAGTTTAAAGTCGTGTAGAATCAAAATCTTTTCGACATTCAAGAAGTTTGCTCGCTTTATTCTATAAATACATCACAAGACAAATAAGATACGTATGTGTCTATGACCGTACCATTTCTTTGAAAATATTAATCTAATTAGAATAGTCATTTTTCTAATTCCCTCAGCATATTATGACAATTTAAATCGACCAGAAAGTCTTACTGCACTTATCTTTGTCCCCTTTTATTTTTGAAAAGTAAATTGTTGTTAACTAGAATCAGGCTCATTGCTCTCGAACTTTTGTAATTTATCTTGCCATCCATCTGCTTTAATTCGAACGCCACTGACGAGTCTTCAAAAACGAAACGCGCGTCAAGCCTACATAAATAAGCCTTTGATGTATATTCCATCATACTATAATTAAAGAACGCATTCATCTATTTCATCGTGATACATTGTCACTCTGGAATTGACGACGAACGTCCCGAGTCTTGAACTTATTCAATGTTTTTCATATCTCTCTGTACTTTCTTGAGCAATACCTTATATACTTATACAACGGATGTTCAAGAATATATGTGTTAAAAGAAACCATTAAAATAGTTTAAATGCTGTATAATACAGCATTCTGATATATCCCTGTACGTATTCCAATAGATACATGTATCAGTTTAGTTTCAAACAGATCAAAACTTAAAATAAATAAATTAATTTCTTGCATGCTACATTGAATCTCTTAAAATTGATGAAATTTTTTAATAAATTTATAGACTGTCAGGGGATGGTATTCGAAAATATTTTGTAATTACGTGCCAAAAAACTTAATTTTATTTTGAAATGACGCCAAAAAGTTTTATCTTGTACTATGATGTATATTTTCATAATTTATATTTAATTTTAATGTATATATATATATACATATATATGTGTTGTTTTAGTTGTTATCATTTCACATAAATCTGTTCAGATAGGCTTATGTATAAAAAAAAAGTGTATCTTATGTGATTGTTTTGTATATTTGAATGCATAAGGTGAGACGTAAATAAAATACAGAATTGGTTAATCATATTCACAGGTAAGAATGAGTCGTAGGTTGGGACCACTAAGTCTTATCTAATATTGGTTATATTAACGCGTTTAGGGCTATAATTTCCTAAATGGATATAAATCATAAGTCCAAGAAATTCTGAGACTATGTTTAAAAAAGTACATTTCTTTAGACAAATGCTATTAATTTTTGTATAATGATTTTTCAAGAGACTGAATTTATCGCTCTATATCATATTAGAAATTTGAACTATAAGCTAAATTACCATTGTTAGTTCCAGTGGATGTGCTTGATGTTCCGAGAGTTTGTGATGGTAATTGAGTGCCAGATGACGCTGAAGAACTGGTACTCCCTAATATGAATATGTCATTTGAAATATATAAATTAATGTGCCCTGGTTTTCAAACAAGATTTGAAAGAAGCTTTAAAAATGTCGATTAAAATTATTAAAAAATCATGTTTAAGTAACTTTATCTTAAAGCAGGTAATGATTTCAATTCTAATAAAATTTCTGAAGAATTTTTTCCATTAATTCTCAAAAATTATCAATGAAAGCTTTTGAATTACCCGATAGAGGCACACTGCATTTGATACAAGGAGGAATATAAGCTGACGCAGACATTTCCAACAACAAAAAAATCATTTCCCTGTAAGCACCCAAAGCACTGCTAATTTAAGGCGCAACGTACCCAATCTGCGTATAAGCACAATATAGTTTCTATTATTAATCTCATAAGTTTTATAAGCAAAGCGCTATAAATGAACACACAATTCCCTGTAATGTTAAAGATAGTTATTTCCGAAAGTAAAGCTGGTAAATAATTGGTTTGTTTCAAAGCAGAAGCAAATTCAAAAAGTCTAATAAATATAATATCTATAATGTATATCCACATACAAGTCTTATGACTATGGATGATCATGCTGAACTTTATTCATCCATTTTTCCTCATATCATTCTGTCCTTTGCTAGATTTTTTAGCGTCACAGTCCGTTTTGTGTCCAAACAAATTACACACTTCAGAAAATCAAAATATATATTTTTATCGCTATTATCTTTTTTTAAATCAAAAATGAAAAACTTTGATTTCAATCGACTTTAAAAGAAATCGAATAGTAATAAAAAGAATATTGAACTGATTTTTTAATTAAGAAAGGAAAAAAAGACGAAAAAATAGTATTGGTTGAATTTGTCTAGCTATCTGTCGTCACTTTTATGAGCGCTACGTGCCTCCCAAAATATTCTACACTCTATACTACGAATTCAATGAAGACATACGCTCTGCACCATCTTGTGGACTGTTGGCCATTTGACTCCAGTCAGTAAAGCTTATACTGGACATATTTAAATCATTTCTCTCTGTCATAAAATATGCTATCTTATTATTTATTTCTTATGAATATCAAAATCAAAAAGGAAATAAAGACATTTAAGGCGAAATATTAAACGGATAAACAGCAAGCCAAAACAATTAGCTAAACCAAGAAATTGAATTATTATTCTTATTTGTTCTTTAAAATTTTTTTTTAATGGAATTGTAAAATAAATACGATCAAATGTGAAAATATTTAAACTACATTTGTAGAACTATATCCTAACCTGGTGTCATCATCCGTGTTAACGTTCCAAAGGCATTACTTAGTCCAAATCCATCGGAATTTGTATTCAATAACATTTCAGCAGGTTCTCTTTGAACTATTCCAACGTCTTGACCTAAAGCATTTTCTTGATGTCTTGCTATGCCGAAATTTGAAGGATCAAAAGAATCTCCTTGGGCACTTATGGCATTTGCAGGAAAAAAAGATGTAGTGTCTGAATTGGTAGAAAGTCCACTATTTTCTGATAAACCAAAGTCTGTTAGCCTCATTAAATTTTGAAGTCCTGCTGATGCAGTATTATCTCCTTGCATCGCAATTCCCGCTGGAATGATCTCAGGTTGTCCAAAGTTAGCAAAATTTGCAAGGTCAACTTCAATGGAAGCATATGCATTATGAATTCAGAAAAGAAAGTAAAGGAAAGCAAAGAAGAGCCAGAGAGTAAAAGGCAGACAATAATGCACATCGGCTATACAAGCAAAAGAAGCTGGAAATATAATAATCCAAGGAAAAGAACATATGTTCCAAAATACAGATATATTCAAATAGATAAAGGAAAAAGCAAGGTAATGCAGGAAAATGTATATATTCAAACTTCATTTGAAAAGTTTATACCACTTCATTTAACGGCATCACACTGAGTTAAATAGAAATGATCTACAAAGTCAAATATCTTTTATCTAAACTTTCTGGTATTCATAATGTATTTAACTGTTTCTTCGCTAACTTGCTATATTGATTTAATTGTTTCGCTAACTTGCTATATTAATTTAATTTCTTCGCTAACTTGCACAAGGATTTAATTTCTTCGCTAACTGGCTATATTGATTTAATTTCTTCGCTAACTTTCTATATTGATTTAGTTTCTTCGCCAACTTGCTATATTGATTTAGTTGCAGTTCTAATTTTATGTCCTACATAGCATGTTCCTTGTAAACTACATAATAAGTCTAACCTGTACTCATTGAGAGTGAGTTTGTTGGAAATAGAAATCCTGTAATTATACATAACTATGAATAAAAGGAAATGCTGTGTATGTGTCAATGAGACAGTAACAAAACGACACAAATAATGAAAAGAAATCTTGAGGTCAACGTAGTCTTCGACAATAGACAAGTGTTAGACATCATTGCAAACTCTAAATCGCCACTTGTGTAAAACATTTGTGAATAAATTAAACAAATCGATCAAAGATCTACCATCAACAACAAGTTCTCTAAAATAACAAAGAAATTCGACAATGTTTTATATCAGATTTTTGTAAGATTTTCGTCCGTTATGGATAAGGAGTCGTGATATATAATGATACTTGAATAACGAATACAACCAACACTCATAAGGGTTTTCTTAATATTGGCGTTATGAACAATGGCTTCATGGTATATTTTGATTTATATTTGAATCATGAACAATGTCGTTTGATTTATATTTGAATCATGAACAATGTCGCCATGACTGGTATCACCAGCCATGTGTTCATTTTATTTGGTTCCTATTGGCACCGAGAACATGTTTGTTTATTGGGTTGTATTTGAGCATCATAGACTATGAATTCCTGCTCTGGTTAATATTTTAACATCCGCACTTGCTGCATGTTGTTGCAATGGCCAACATTGGCTTGACGGAATGTCAATAGGGATATGTTTTATTAATCAGGAATTATTGTGTAATGACATCGTGGGAAATTGACATTTAAAATCGCCGTCAGAATAAATCGATTTTACACAATTATTGTTTTCAAAAAATGTTAACAAAACAATTTTTAAAACATTTTCCGTTAATATTTATCATTGTTGCTAGACAGGGCTATTTTATGGTTCAAGTATATTAATTTTTTTCAAATCAAATTTTATTAAATTTGTTCCAGATAATCCGATCAAAGATTTTTTTCCTCAATTTTAAATTCTCACAATTCAGATGACCAGTGATGAACCTATATGAAGGTAGGCATTAATACCAAGGTTTGCAGGGTGTGTTATAATTCCAGAATCCTAGCCACTGTAGCTTTTAATCTGTTTTTTTAAGATGATATGTTGACAGAAAAAATCAATTCTACCCTTTTTTACATGAAGCTGCAGTTTCTGGAATCATATTAAAACGTTATTCGGGGAAATTTGAGATGTTAGTAAGTGCATGCTGTGAAATTAAATGATATTAAGTTCACTGACCTGTTCCGCTGCCAGCTGCTGTTCCTGAAAGATAACATATATATATACATGAGTGTTGTATATTGGTACCAGCCTAAGTGAACATCTAAAATAAATGCCTGTTGTGTTATGATTGAAGTTTATTAGTTCAGCTATTTGATTTCGTATAGTTTTATCTTTTTCGATTTCTTACATTTTTTTATATTGTTCGAGTTCGTATGCAGTTGGACCTGATATTAAGGTCACATCTATTAAACAAAAACCTGTCTTGTCCGTTGTCCCTATGTAGTCAGTAATACGTATGCCTTTTGGACCTCAATTCACATGTCATCTGTATTGTCAGGGTTTTTTTACCTAAGGGTGACTTTTATATACTGGTTTGACTGTATTTCAGTCATGTTTTATTTTTGCATGCGAACAAAAGATGCTATTGATACATTGCACATATAACATTAAGCATTGAGGGTAAATCTAACGGGCAGGATTAGGAAGACGTTTTACGGTACTGAAATATCAATCAATTTGCAGTAAGCAGTGATTTTGTTTATTGATTTTCTTTCTATCATATAGTTTACAGCTGATGTGACAATTGATGCGTCAGATTATATTCTTACGTGTTCTTAAAACATTCCGCTGCCGGTTGGCTAAAAGTCGTCTTCTATCTAGAAAATAAATATGGCTATAAGCAACAATGCAAAGCAATGCAATACAAAGCAAAAAAGGTTGGCTAGTAAAAGGAGAACTGCAAAAAATATAGGTAAGCATGCTGAAAAAAATAGTGACTAGTTTGCTTGATAAGTAATAAGCCGAAACTCATGCATTAAAATAAATATTTCATACCATTTATCCAAATAAATCTCCACTATTTACATTTTTGTCAACAAAGTCAGTTTAAAATATTATTTTCGAGCAATTCCTTAACAATTTCTTAACCAATATAACCTACATTTACTTGATGTTGTTAATAAATTGTTTAATTCTAAATGTTTCGAAAAAAAGGTTTCAGAAGAGAGTGAAAAAAAATAATTGGTAGAAAATAAATATGGCATAAAGTTTATAAAAAATATTCTCGTTCCTGTATGCCACTGAAATTAATTGTTTGTCCCGAGAAAAAATACCATCTCAACCCCCTAATTGAATGGTCGTTTCCCAATAAAGCCAACAAAATCTTATTTGCTAATAAGAAACGGCAAATGTCATGTCTGTTCGATAGTGTGAGCATATATAGTTTTGATAAAATTGCTATTCAATAGAAGTTCTTCTTAATGCTGACAAAAATTCTTATTTCAAAATACCAATTTAGAACAGAAATAATGATCCGTATCATAAGTTAAAAGGTTAAATCATTACATTGATTCAAAACTAAAGGAGGTAATTTCAGTTATGGACAGAAATAACATCAAGTGCATAACATTTAATCTGTGTATCTTTAATAACAGTCATAACAAAAACTATGAAGAAGCAAAATTGCACATTTTAAATAGCTATATTCAAATGTATTTTGTAACCCTCAAGCACTTGGGGCATTGACCCCATTTTTTCGGCGGTTAATTGTTTTGGTAAATTTAAAATTCATAATTTTACAACTTATGTTCACTTATTTAATTTGTTCTTTCTCGTATCCGTACGATCTGACAATAACAGTAGATTATACGTATCCGTACGATCTGGCAAAAACAGTAAATTATACGTATCCGTACGATCTGCCAATAACAGTAGATTATAAGAAATGAACTGCGAAAAGCTACTGAGGATTGAACATTTAAAATTGCTGGATAAGTGATTGATTGTACATATGAACCACCAATAAAATGAAAAGTATAAACACTTTTTGAATTGATACATTTTACATGTTATAAATTCTATGATTTAATGAATGAATGGTGCTTAAAATGTGCCGGAGCCAAGCGGACGTACGGCAGCATGTACAAACTGTTGTTGTCAAAAGAGTTATGAATAAGAGAACGAACATATCAAATAGGTAAACAAAAAATTAAATATTATTATTTTTTTTACTAAAAAACATTAAGCACCAAAAAAAGGGGGGATTCATGCCGTAAGCGGTTGTGGTGTTACCATGCTTTTACCACCACCAATAGCCTACTTGTAAATTGCCTTGGGAATACTCTTGTTCTTTGCACTACAACATCTCGCCTTGGATTTCTACCGCCTCGCCTGAGTGCTATAAATATAGTCTGATTATATATATCTAACGCTACGTTATAAACAGCTAACACATAAGCTATGATGATACACACATGCAACAGAGGATGGAATACTTTGAATATAATGCGTATTAGTAACTATGATACAATAAAAATAACTAAAGCAGTTTTAAATATAGTATGCAGCATTAATTTGCATTTTAAAGCTAAACGTTTGAGAGTTGATAAAAGCTTCACAAATAACATTTTGAATGTATGAGATAATACTATATATATTTTTTTCTACTTAAATACGGACCAAAGCCAAAATCTATATTTTTCAATAGTCTCAATATTCTTAATATTTCTAATTAAAAAAAATGTAAGTATATTTCTAAATTCCTTTCTTCAACTCTTAATGATTTTACAACTATCATCTTAGATGTAAGTACTGCCGACAAACCTGTTTGCCCTCTTCGTGTTGCAATAGCATTATTGGCTACATCATTTGTCAGGGGTCGTACTCTGTTACCCGTTACTGGGTCAATTAACGTGGAACCTTGACCTAATTCTGTAAACAGACCTGTTGATGGTAAAGTTCCCACATTAAGGCCATTTCCAAATCCAAGCCCTGTCCCAGCTCCGCCTGTTCCTAGTGCATTTCCACTTCCAAACTGTCCTGTACCTGTTCCACCTCCAAACTGTCCTGTACCTGCTCCACCTCCAAACTGTCCTGGTGTACCCCCACCTAAAAACTGTCCTGTAGGTGTCGCACCTCCAAGCTGTCCTGCAGGTGTCGCACCACCTCCAAACTGCCCTGTTGTAGCCACGCCACCAAATGGATTCATACCGCCGGCAGCACCAAACTGAGGACCACCAAATTGTCCAAAAGGTCCTCCAAATGGCCGTGGAGGTCTATTCATTCCACCAAGACCATTGAACGGCGGAAATCCAAATTGTTGTCCACCAAAATTTGGCCCTCCGGGGAAACCACCTAGACCATTGGCAAACTGTCCAGCACCGCCACCTTGTCCACCAAACCCATTCAATGCATTTGTTCCAGCTGTATTTCCTGTCGGTGTTCCACTAGCTCCAGTTCCTGCTTGAGTGCCTGTTTGAGTGCCTGTTCCTGGTGTTCCTGGTGTTCCAGTTCCAAATGCTGTGCCCACTAATGAGTTTCCGGCTCCCCCACCACCAAACGATCCTAGTGTATCAGTTCCAGCTCCATTAAATTGTCCTCCTAGTCCACCTGCTCCAAACTGGCCACCTGGTCTAGCGGCTGGACCTCCAAAGCCTCCAAACTGTCCACCTGGTCTACCACCTAATCCTGCTCCACCACCAAATCCTTGTCCAAATCTGGTTGGAGGGGGTCCAAATCCTGGAGGTCCACCCATACCAAATCCAAATGGGCCACCAGGAGGACCACCCGGAGGACCACCCGGAAATCCAAAACGTCCACCTGGACCGCCACCAAATTGTGCACCTGGTTGTCCAAAACCCCCAAATTGCCCAGCACCAGCTCCTGGAAAACCTCTCTGTGTTCCACCAGCACCTCCTGGAAAACCTCTTTGTGTTCCACCAGCACCAGCTCCTGGAAAACCTCTTTGTGTTCCACCAGCACCAGCACCACCGAAGGTACCAGCTGTACCACCGCCTGTTTGTCTTCCTCTGCCAAAACCTGTCGTTTGTCTTAATTGATTTTGTTGTTGGGCTGTAAAAAGAAAAAATACGATTATTTCAATCTTTTTCTTCCTCATTTAACAGACATTTTTGTTAATCTTTGTATCCCTTTGGTTATTCTTTGTATTCCCTTTTATTATGTTTTGTATCACTTTTTGTTATTAAAACATTTTGCAGCTATGCAGACTTTTGGACCTGTGGATTCCTGGTGAAAAACAATCCAGTAATATGCTTTGAACGCAGCTTAAACGGTATGTGATACTTAATTTACAAAAAGCTAAAACATTGTATGACTTTGACTTATTTGTAGCTCCTATGACTGACTTATTTGTAGCTCTTATGACTGATTTATTTGTAGCTCTTATGACTGACTTAAATATAGATATCATTTTTTACTTATATTGTTGATAATTTATTTGGCCTGACGGTTCACTCTACAACACCCTCGTGTAGTGTAGTTCTTTTTTTCTGTCTGTTATTTTATTGTTACTTCCCCTGTAATCCTAGTGACTTATGGGTCCAAGCCTTCCATGTAGAGGTTAACCCACAAAACTTCCCCTGTATTCCTAGTGACTTATGGGTCCAAGCCTTCCATGTAGAGGTTAACCCACAAAACGTCCCCTGTATTCCTAGTGACTTATGGGTCCAAGCCTTCCATGTAAAGGTTAATCCACAAAACATTTAAATTCTATAAATAACTTTTACACATTTATGACAAATGTATTGAACTCTAAGGTTTTTTTTCAAAAGTCTGAATGATTGAAATATTTTAGGTGGAAAAATATAAACATCATCATAGTGTTGCATTCTTATTAAAAAAGAATCCTGAAGACAATGCAGCTTCCGTATAAACCGTTAGTAACTCTATATCATTCCTCGGTAGTTATGGAAGGCGGTCCTTAACGTCCTACACTAAACTTATATCCTTTAATAGGGCGGTCCCGAAAGGCTTAGTTAAACATATTTTATTTGATTAACTTTTGGCTGATTAATCATATTTTGGTAAAGTGTTATACAAGATGAGGTTATTTCAAAAAGAGTTTTATTTATGTTTGATAAATGTGTACGGTAAATTTTCATATCGAGAGATGTATAGTTGACCCGTCCGACCGTCAGTCGGTCATTTTCGTTTCCGGATACAATATCAAAGACTTTAAAAAATCTGATTGCAATCTTAATCTTATATATGGTCACACATTATCAGAGGAAGATCCTTACTGATTTTGAGGTCACCATGTCAAAGGTCAAGAACGTAGTTACCATAAAATAGACTGAAATTTGTGTAAAACAGAGGTTTTCGGGTGCTAAATCAAATGCTACATATATGATTTCAACATTACTTTTAAATATTGTTACATAGATTGAGAAGAAGATCCTTATTAATTTTGAACTCAATACCTCTACGGTCAAGGTCAACAATACTTAAACGACAGAAATTTGTGCAGAAAAGATGTTTCCTGATGCTAAATCAAATATTGCATGTGCAGTTGTAAAGTTGTTGAGATATATGATCACATATAATGAGAGATAGTTGAAAAAGAAAAAGGTAGGAAAGGATTTTCACCTGTGAACGGGAAGTTGGAATTAGACTGTCAGTCGACATCATTGAGTTGCTACGCTTTATAGTGATTTAATGGATTGGGCTCGATGAAATATGTATTGAAATATTTCAATAATATGAACTTCTGGAGAGCACCCTGGGCTGTAATTATTTCCACAGCTTTACATGATTAGGCCCATTCAGGTAATGCAATTTTCTAAGACTGGTTCGCTACAGAAACGCGAAGCTGTTGGTTCGCATACACTAGCGCAACACGTAACAGTGTGTTCGCATACCTAAAGTAGCTCATATTAATTTATCTAATTAATGAATGTACTCAATATTCATCTATTTCATTATGGTAGTAAGAACACGAATATGTTAACCTGACTCAGAAGCATTTTATAAGAGTCATCTTCTCGCATCTTTTTTTAAAATTCTATCATCTAGAAGCATAAAAGTGTTTTTCGTATGTATAATCTTTACTAAATATGGAAAAGCAGAATATGTAGCTAGACGCAAGCACTTAGACCTTTTATATATAACTCTTTTTAGTATATTTTTTCAAAAATTTTATTTAAAATTTAGGCAAAGTATAATAACGCTGTCATTATTTCATTAAAATACTCCCATACTACCTTAAGAAAATGGCGACTAATACATAGACAAATAGAGATATTTATGCAAAACAATACCTTTGAAAAGAGCTAAAAACTATGAACAACTGTACTTATACTTGATCGACTATTGTTAATACTTACCTGCTATTGAAACGATATAACAGAGTAAAAGTATGGCTTTCATTTTCTTCAGTTGTTGATATACCATATGTTGTCAAGTTGTTGTCGTCTGATTGTCTTTCTTGTTGTTACCACTTTTGGAATTAAAAAAATCCTAAATTCTGTCTTCTTGGTATCAAAGTGGACAGCGGAACTTGTTATCTATAAAGTGCTGAAAGGAAAAAGTATTCAATCAAAGATTTAACAACGCACGAATCCTCTCTAATGTTCTGCCATTTAACGAATCGGTAGGTTTAGTAAAGTGTAAAATTAGTAATTCATCAAGTTTTTATCTAACTTAAATTTAGTGTTTCCTTTGTTCAAGTAATGCATCATGTATCACGAGATTTTCAAATACACGTCATCACGTCTGATGTCGATTTTTACCGCAAGTAAAAGCATAATGGGGGACATATGGGTTTATTAATTCTAAATTCAATTTTTTATTCATTTATCGGACAGTTCTGTTTTTCTCTGTTAGTTATGATGGTTGAAAGTGCAGACAACATTTACACACTAGTTACATGTACGACGTACTTCGACCATCATGTTCAAGAGAAAATTAACCTGTTACTTGAATTTCAAATACAATGTTTGATTACTATAGTTTATTATTTGTATCTTGTCGAAATGGAACCAAACATATCGAGTATATATAATGAATCAATGCATTTTTTTCACATGGCGTTTGCGAAAAAAAAGAAGGAAAGGTCGCTTTAATCGAAAAATATATTACTCCAAAATGTTTGATTACTTAGTAGAGCCTTGATACTAGACTAGAATACTTAAAACGTTTAAATATGATTCTAATACATTGAATCACTTGCAATTTAAATGAAACAGTTTGACACGTAAATATCGTTCGTTTGTTTTGCTTTAGAAAGTTAAACTATGAATATTTTATTTTTTCGTAAATTCTCCTTTTACGAATTCCTTCATTTATCCCCATACAACTGCCTTTTGGTTTCTCTATACAGACTCAGTTGTGTTTTCGAAAGTTTAGGTTCGATAAGTCTTTATAGTATAAATAGAAGTTGAATTGATGTCCAATTTGTCATAAATTACTACTTATATGATACTTTTGTTTGTATTGATTCAAATTGTTAATTTACAGATTCACTTTAAAACAAACTATTTTCATCGGTATATTTCCAGTAATTCGAAATATTAATATGATCTTAAATTCTTAAAGAATAACAAGGAATAACCTTACCGATTGAACTGAAAAGCTTTTGTTGAAAATTATTTCATAATAATTTTGATTTCTATTTATTTTCTTTGAACTGAAATCATGGTAGTTTCCCTTGCATAGTCGTGGAGTCGGTTGGTGCGGTTATAGATATTCTAACAATCATATGACTATGTATATTTACAGAAGACAGATTGTTTCATTCAAGTGAAACAACAAGACATAAATAAACCACTGTCATTTATGTCAATTTATAAAAAAATAAGCATAAATCATATATTTGTATATTTATAAAGCTTGTTAAATAACTGCTTTATAGTAAAGTTTATAGATTAAAAACAACAGGAAACCAATATCAAAGAAGGTACAAGAAGGTCTTTTGTTTGGGTTAACAGTGTATAACTGTGTAACAACCATATGTATGTCATATAAAAAATATAGGAGTTATCTTCAAGGCACATTAAAAATGTACCAATAGTTAAAACATTGTATGTATTCATACAATTTGAATTAGACTGTTTCAGAAGAGAAGGAATCGTAAAAACGCCCCAAATGTCTTCTAATTATACGTCGATTCTTTTAAGATCGTCTTAATTTTTCTATCACATTTGAATAAAGCAATGTATTCAAAAGCGGAAAATTTACTGTTGAACTACTTTCATTTAGATCGATTTGACGTATAACTGAACAAAGGATCAACAAGAATATTTCAAACTTTATCTATTGATCTAAAATCGAAATGTACTTTTTACATTTTCCCCCGGTATAATAAGCAATAAAGATAACTAAAACTGAAATGTCATGTAATATTTTAAATAGATTCATTGCTGTACGAAATTGATATACGTAAATCCTATCAATACTTCTTTAAAGAGGATTGGTTGTTGCTTACATGGAAGCTGTCTAACTAAGGTTCTTAATGGAAAAGCTGAAGACATATTTTCGCAAGTTTTAGGGACATGATTTAGCTGACCTAAATCGAATCTGCCGCGGATATATAATCAATTTGTCGAAGTCATTATCTGGTTGTCTTTTCCTCGATGGGGTCATCTCCAAATCAACATGCCAACGGGGTTCCTTGCCATGCTAAACATGTTGGGTGCTAAAAGTAGAGCAGTAACCACTGACCCTTCCGGAGCACCTGGGTGTAATTGTGATTCTCACTTGGACAATTTATACAGACTTCACTAAAAATGTAACACCTAAACGTCACATTACACTGAACATTCTTTATTAACTCAATATATTGTTTTGAGTGCAAAAATGTTTTGTTTATTGTATTATAATTCTTTTGATATATATTTATAAATTTAGCATAAAATAAAGAGTTTGAATACCAATAATAAGCTTTGTTTATTTTAAATATTTGAGGTTTTCATCAGATACTACGTGATTTCAAGATGGAGAGTCCAGTGGATTCAACATGACCGAATTGTGTATTACTCAACAGTACTAAGTACGAGATATTCAAATGTGTTCATATTGACTAAGTTTATTTGTCTTAAAGTATAAATTATGCTCATTGGACACAAAAATTAATGTTGAAGGCGTCACATTGTATTCGTTATTTCAATTTAAAAGATCAAATTGCTTCATTTTGGTTAACATAGTATAAAGAAGTTATAACTTATACTTAAACACATCGCTTATTATTTGTCACTTCTAGAGTAATTAGACAGGGTTGTCACATGTAGTCTACGTATATTACACGCACTTATGCGCGTTAGAACAAACAGAACTGATTTTTTTTTTATTTAAATGAAGTACTTTTAAAATGCTGAATCAACTGGTATCGTTATTTAACTATACATTTTAAAACTCGTTGTGTAACTGTTTAAAACCGACAATGGTCACATTTATCTTTAATGGATCCAGCTTCTTGGAAAATCGTAAATAATACAAAGTTTAAAATTGGTTAATGATCAATAAAAGTATTTTATTTTCCATGAATAAATTTTAAAAATATTGAATTTTAAATAAATAAGCAAAAAAAAACATTGAATTTTCAATAAATAAATAAATAAATAATTATTGTAATATCAATAAAAATAAATATAAAATTAGAATCTTACTGTTCAGCACGAACTTCTTTGAGGACACCAGGGACACTTCTGTTTCAATAAAAGCTAGGAGGCATTATTGACAAAGTGCTATTAACACGACATATTGATTGGGCAAAGAATGCACATGTCAATAAAATATATCAAATGTAATTTACTTCTCCTTTTTATGTTGTAATGTCTTTTCTGACAGTGTTTATGAAGTTCATTTAAGGGCATTTAAATAGCGGATTTGTGTAGAACATAGTTCAGATGGAATTTTGACTTTCTTCTTTTTTTTAAACTTACCTTATGGCTCTCTCAAAGCTTTTCAGATTTTAACAGTAAATCTTTACTGTTTTTATATGAACACACTCTAAAATGAAATCAAAAGCTGAACACAAGGCGTATAACATATTATTGTACCAGCTATTATTCCTATGTTGAATGTGTTAGGGATGGAAACATCGTTCTAAAAGATAAAAAAAAAACAAAAAACCTAAGTGTCATAATAATTTACATCATAATAATCTACATTAAACGAGGGTTGACAGGGTTATAAAAATATTCCTGGGCCTCTCCCCTCCGACAGTAAAACCCTTACTAAAGTAGGGTATACGTAAAATCAATCCGATGTATCAAGTAGGGAGACTGCCACGTTCTCTGTACGCTATAGAACAACTCTTGTGAGGGGTCCGTAGGTGGCCTGTTGCTATTGACCTTTGATATTTACACGTAAAACCGTCTACTGCTGCTATCATGAAAGATGTATATTGATATATTTAGTAATAGATTGAAATTTCGGTATTTCTTTTGAAACTTAAATTGCATGAATACATCATTATTTCACAGCAGAATTGTGTATTTTGTTCTCTCACGAAGACATATAAATATGTCAAGAGTAACAGAATTTTTATGATATGATTAACATAACCATAAAGAATGGTGTGGTCAATGACACTTTCATTGCTATACATGTTCATTGCTTACAACACTATACAGTTTGATTATCGTCAATAAATATTTGGGGGAAATCAGAGCATGCCTTTATTTCATAATAGACATTTTTGTATGAAAGGAGTGATTGCAGTGATTTAATTGCGATAGTCGATTAGGCGCTAACGTTTGTTTTTTTCTCTTTTTTTAGTAACAATTGTCAATAGCTGATCAAACTATACATTGGGTTAAAGTCCACAGTTAGGCAAATATCTTAAAGAAAGATGACATTGACAATGGTTGCTCACTCAACGCCAACTCATTACAGGTAAACTGCAAAAAAACATTTCAAATTATGTTCTACCTGTAACAGGGATGTGTTATAGTTATTGTGTTTTAACCCCAGCTATCTTGCTATTTATAACATTTTCACGTCGTTAATAAGCATTGACTGAAAAATCAAGTATTTTATAAAAATCCTCGATCTAAAAATTGCTTTAATCCAGTTATGTGTCCAATATTTCAAACTGTAGCCTCAATCGTCTTTATATCACAGACCGTTTGTTAATTTTCTTTTAATCATTTTTATGTGTAGTTTATTTGGTTTTTACTTATATCTACTAAGGTGGTTCTATTCACAATATACAAATTTCGGCTGCATCTTTTTATTTTACATTTGCCAATTATCATTATTTCTTTGACTTCTGAAATCATCGTTCAGAAATTTTGATTAAGCAAAATCTATCATTTTCGAAAAAGTTTCTATACAATTTTCTTACTATTTTACAAAATAAACGTCGAAGCAACTACATGTATCTTAGATACGTACACAGACAAACATGTCAGTAACATGAAAATTCTTTTAGTTGAGGTAGAAATTTAAGTATTATTGTTGACAGCTAAATTGTAAATTCCGCGAAAAATATCAAATATAATGCTGATGATAGTACATTGAATGGCATCGAAGGATCAACTAAATTCAAGAGAACTTAAGATATTTTCACAATTATCTTATTCATAAAAAGTTATGAAATCATTTAGCAAGTAATTTATCATTGTCAAAATTGCAAATACTTACAAAATATCAAAATTTAATATCC